GCGTGCGGCAGAGGCGGCTCCGCGGGGCGGGTCAACTGTCGACCCCGAGTGGTAGTTCAGGAGGATGAGGGAGAGGAGGAAGAAGAGGGCGGAGGAGGTGGAGGAGGACGAGGACGAGGACGAGGAGGACGAGGAGGAGGGGGAGGAGGAGGAGGAGGAGGAGGAGGAGGAGGAGGAGGAGGAGGAGGAGGAGGAGGAGGAGGAGGAGGAGGGGAGGAGGAGGAGGAGGAGGAGGAGGAGGAGGAGGAGGAGGAGGAGGAGGAGGAGGAGGAGGAGGAGGAGGAGGAGGGGGACGAGGAGGACCGCTAGGACGACCAGGAGTCAGTTTCAAAAAGGGTGGGAGCCCCTCGTCTGGAGAGGCTGGGTCCGCCGTGGGGCCGCCCGATGGGTTTCACGAGACACTTTCTGTGAGCTTCTCCCAACATGTTGTTTTCCGATGGAGGCCACGGCTGGTACTCCTTCAAGAGATTCAGACTGCCGCGGGTGGCGTGTGCCCCGCAGCTCACATAATATGAAAGTGCATCGCCCTGGCACGACGATGCCATGCGAGGCATGCGCGAAAAAAGCTCCCGAACAAACACAACCCAGGCATCATTCTGGAGCTGCTTGGCATCGGGGACGGCCGTGGACCACGGCTTCGCGGGAGCATGACGAGGTCTCGAGAATAGCTCGCGTGCGTCTGGTGCCGTGGGCCTAAGCAAAGCACGACCGGCCCAGCCACCGCTGCATCGAGATCGGCCTCCTGCTCCCGCAGGCTCCACCGAGTTGGCGCTACAGTGCCGTTTGTAATACATGCTCCGCGTGCGCATCATGTATTAAAAATGCAGGGATTTAGTTTTACAAGCAACGATGAGTTCATGCATGAATTTATTTATATATTAATCATGTATTGTAATCCTATATGTTTAGAAATCCTATGTACTAAAAACTGCCCTGTACCACCCATGGCCTTCTGGAGCTTGTGCCCCAGGAGCTTCGGTCCGCCAGACCTGGGCTTCGGCGCGGGTTTTTTTGTTCGCTCTGGGGGTCTCGCGCCGCCTCGGCGTCGGACGCGGGGCCTGGCCGTCACACTCCGCAGATCTGTGCAGGGGCATGGCGATCGCTCTGATCCTGGTGGCCCTGCCGAGGGCCCGTCCTGCCTGCGTTGCGTCTGCCTCGCCTGCTTCGGGCCGGATCGTCTTGGCGACCTGCTCGGCCAGCCTGCTGTGCCCGACGCGTGCGCGCCGCAGGGTGCCTTCGAGGGCTGCTCTCTGTGAAGGTCCACGTGGGACTCGATCTTCATCATGTAGACCTCGCGTGTCTGCAATATACGCCCGGCATTATCCACGCTGTTCGGTAAGTGTCGGGGGGGAAGTGCTTCTTTGAGTTTTCTGGAACTCCTGGACGGCGTAGGAGCTATCGGTAACGTAGACGAGTTGGGGGGCTGGCGGGGAGTCCTCGATGCACTTCAAGTCAGTGACGAGTTCACCATAATTGGTGGTCTGCTCGTTCCAAACTGCGCGTGCTATGTTTTGGCCACGTCCATTGGGCGGGACCTCAAGGCTGAGGTCGAAGGGATGAAAGTCGAAGCAAGCCTCAAGCCACTCTCCGAGAATATCTGATGAGGAATGCGGACCTCCCAAGGCGTTACCCGCACCGACGATGATGCCAGCCAGCATTGGGAACATCGCCATGCAGATGACAAAAAGCCTTGTGCTCGCCCAGCGGCACGGTGACCTCGGTCCATGAAGCCGGTGTGATCCCGCGAAGCCAGAGAGCTCGTCCAGTCTCGCATTCTGCGTGTACGCGCGCAGTGAGGAAGCACTCGATTCCTTGACCGACGCCAGCTCCTGATTTTGTGGGCAAGCCCAAATTCGATGACACCTCCTCCCCGCATCGATCATACAGTGAGCGGCTTGAATAAGGAACACTTCCTTTTCAAAAGGGGCTCGGTCGTTCCTTAGGCTTGCATGAGTTATTCATCATTCCTTAATGCGTTATTTGTTACATATCGTTCCTTCTGCGTCACTCCTTGGAAACATAAGGGGCTTCGTTCCTTATGTATCGTTCCTTAGGTCAGGCCGATGACTGTAGACATCTGAGTAGTCATCAGGGGGCTGGCAGACTTGCTTGCTGCGTTGACACGGGGCCACGGTCCGCCCGTCGCAACCGTGAGCAAGGTGCCTGCCCAGGCATGCTTCTCTCTGCTGCCCGAGCGGCTGTAAGCTTGAGGAGGTGGAGAGGTGGAGGAGGAGGAGGAGGAGGAGGAGGAGGAGGAGGAGGAGGAGGAGGGGGGGAACGATGATGGGGAGGAGGGAGGGAGGAGCTCGGCATCGCTCGGACGTGTGCATGTTTCCTTCGGCGAGGACCATCGAGGAGCATCCTTGATCATTTGGCGAAGAAATCACGCACGAAGCCGAACAAAACACAGGAAATGACGTCCGAGCGATGGCCAGGGAGGAGGTGGAAGGAGGAGGAGGCGAGGCAGGAGGTGGAGAGATGTGGGAAGGCAGGGGGGCGGCAGAGGGACGATGGTCAGCCTCGTCGTCGCCCCCTCTTCCTCCAAGGGCAGCCCAGTGTGCGTCAAGGTAGTGGGAGCAGATTCGGCGGAGGAGGCACTGTACGGGCGAAGGACAGCATGAGGAGAACGATGATGGGCAGAGATCTATGATGGGATCTGGAGAGGTGGGTGCGCCCTCGAGGCAACGGCTCCCCTGGATCCAGGCAGGGGCTGGAAGGACCTGACACACGCAGGTTCACAGAGGCTGAGCGCTCGGCGACGGTGAGATGTCGCGCGAGACGCTCGTGCGGAGATGGAGCGCGCCGTCAGAGTGGTGTACGGAATCTGGCTCCCTGCGGTGGCGGTATGTTTGATGGGCGACCATGTGGGGAGCCATCGAAGGGAGCCATCGAAGGGAGCCATATGCCTCCCTACTGATGGGCGGAATATGGCTCCCTACGGGGCATAGTGTCAGACCCCTGCAGGAGGCTGGCAGCGGATGCTCTCAGCAGCCCACGCCGACAAGAAAGGAGTGACCGATGATAGCGAAAAGGCTGTTGTGCCCGCGCCCGTCCTGTCGTTGACATCCAGGGGAGCCTCTGGTCGGGGGCGGAGAAGAGGGGGGTGATGACTAGGGGGGGGTGGATATCATGGCGCTTGCCATGACATTTCCCCAGATTTCATGGCGCCTCTTCTTATCTCATTCTGGCCCCCCCGCTGGGCCGCGCACATGCCGCCGGTCATGATTTGCACCCCCCCCCTCTTGGACACCCCCCTCTTGGCCGCTCCCGATCTGGGACTGGATCGCGCTCCGCTGGCTTCCGGGGAGGTGGGAAGGGCGGGCGCTGGAGGTCGCGACGCGGCAGCGACAGCCGACCCCTCCGCCCGCGAGGAAGATGTAGGCCGCGGGCGGGGCAGGAGTCGGGCGGGCCTTGTGGCCACCGTGGGAGGGCCGAAGCTGCTGAAAGCGACCGCTGTCCCGGTGCAGACACGGCAAAAGGAACCAAGAGGGGGCGCACGCAGCTTTCGGACGAGGCCCCCGCTGGAACATTTCGCTCCCCTGGCAAACGACAGGGCCTGGGCAAAGGCCAGTGAAGGTGGCCGTGGTGGCAGAGATGCGCGGTGCGACCCGAGCGGTTTGTGGCCAGACGTGTGACCGGCAATCGGCGGCTGAACCGTAGTGTTCGTGACGACGGAACGTGGACCTCAGAGAGTACAGTCGGGGCGCAGAAAAAGAAACTCTTTTCGTTGGGGAGGGGCTCGGTGTTCCTTGATTGTTGTACAGTTTGCCTTGGGTTTTCCTTCGTTTTCCATGGGAAATCAAAACTTAACTTATGGGAACAAGGGGCCTCATTCCTTATTTAGGGTTCCTTAGGTCAACGCCCCGACTGTAACCTGCTGGATGGCAGCTCTTGGTATGCGAGTTCGGGCGGAGCCAGAGAGGACGGCCCATGGCACGCAGGTTCCGGTCGAGGCCGAAAGGCAGCTCGCGTTGAACGAGGTCGAAGCGCAGCTTTGGGGGCCGGTGGCGCCTGCGGGCTCTGTCTCATGGAATTCGAGGCACTGTCGAGCGACTGAGCAATCACCTCTGCAGCAGGAAGAGGTGGTGCTCGGACGGGTGGCGCAGTGAAAACTTTATTTGGGGTTGGCGCCCCTTGGCGAGGTGCACTGAAGGCTTGCACGCGGGGCGAAGTTGCTCCTGGCCCGCCGCGGGGGAAGCGGTTACCTTCGCTCCCTCCGCTGCTCTTTAGAGGATCAAATGAAAGAGCGTGCGCGCGCAATGCGCACATTTGGCTCAGGGGAATTGGGGGGAGGGCGTGGCTGGTGTCTTAGTGGAAAAAAAGGGAGTGCGCGCCTCTCCCGTAGCGCGCGCGTATCCTTATCCACTCTCGCATCTATTGAACGGAACATACAGGGCCCATCCGTCCACAATATCCTTACCGAGGGGCCCCAGGGTTAGGAGATCTGAGCAAGGAAAACGCTCATTTTCGTCTGGGGATGTCGATGGCCTGGCGAAGAACAGTAATGGTGATACGGATGGGGATGACGATGGTGGCCATGGTCGTGATTATGGTGGAAAGTACAGTCGGGGCCCTGAGGAAGGAACCCTTTTCGTTGGGGAGGGTCTCGGTGTTCCTTGATTGTTTCAAAGTTTGCCTCGGGTTTTCCTGAGGTTTTCCATAGGACATCGAAGTTGAACGTACGGGAAAAAGGGGCCTCGTTCCTTATTTAGGGTTCCTTAGGTCAAGGCCCCGACTGTATGAGGATGAGGCGGATGTGGCGATGCTGCTGCTGGTATCCGTGACGGCGGTGATGGTGTTCATATTCATCATGGCTCACACCGTCAGGATGCTGATCGCCATGGTGTATGACTATGGTGATGATGCGGATGACACAGCTGAAAATGACTCAGACGAACACCGTGGTCGTGCCTATTACGAAAAACGTGATGATGACGCTGCTGATGAGGAGGGGGAGGAGAAATCGGTGGAGGAGAATTCTCGGGGTGACAAAAACGCAGGCGGGCAGTGGCAGCGCGCGCTGGCGCTGCTCCGCCAGATGCACGGCGCAGAGCTGGACGCCCCCCATCGGCATTCATTCGGCTCCTCGTCGTCGGCGCGTTTTCGGCGTCGTCGCCGGAGGAGGATGGGGAAGGGGGAGGAGAGGGGGAGGAGGAAGGGGAGGAGGAGGAGGAGGAGGAAGAGGAGGAGGAGAAGGAGGAAGAGGAGGAGGAGGAGGAGGAGAGGAACCGACCAACGACGACGGCGAGAACCTCGACGACCATCTTGCGAACTTGTGGTTTAAACCGGCAGTGTTGACGGTCTTGTGTTTCTCTCTCTCTCTCTCTCTCTTGTGCGCCCGCCCACGAAGTCTATGAACCAGTCCCCTTCGGGGGCGGGGGGGTCTTTTCATACCAGTCCTTGCGATAAGCATTCAGCAGTGCGTCCTGTGTGCGCAAAGCGCCGACATGGTTGTCATGCCCGCTAACGCGCCCGCGGGTAGTTCACCGACTTGAGTAAAGTGCGATGCAGCTTCAGTAGAGAGCACCGTTCGTGGTGTTGGCGGCCTCCAGGGCGTCTTAGAGTGAACTGTGAGAAAGTATCGAGCGGGTGCCAATGCCGTCTTAGCTGGGCTTGTAATGAACTCGCTGACTTGCAAGGACGTCTCGGGCGAGGGCGCCGTTCTATTGCGCGATAGTTCATGTGACCAGGGCGTCTCGGAGCACTCGGAGTACCCGTCTGGGGCGGGGGGCCCTGTAGTACAGGGGGGGGGGGCCCTGCAGTCCAGGGAGGGGTCTTGTAGCCCAGAGGGCGGGGACTGTCCAGGGAGAGGGGGCAGCTGGGGGGCCTTGTAATCCGGAGAGGAGTGCGGGGGGGGGGTCGCTCTGATCTTCGCGGGGCGCCGCTTGCACGCGCGCGGCAGAGGCGCGACAGTTGCGCGCCTCGCAGCGCCCAGGCGCAGCAAAGTGGCGACGGGTGTGCGCGGCGGCTTCTCCGTCATGCGAAAATTCGTAGCATCTGTAGTGGAAAGGTGCCTGTAGTACGGGGGGATCCCTCTGAAGTCCGGGGTGGGGGGGCTTGTAGTGCGGGGGGGGTGGCAGGGGGTCCCTGTCGCTCGGGGGAGCGACCCTTGTAGTTCGTGAAGGGGGGGGTTGGTAGTGCGGGGGGCCCTTGTAGTCTGGGGGCAGTGATTAATCGAGGCTTTAGACTGTGGGGACGTATCGAGCGGGTGCCGTTGTCGTCGTAGTTGGGCCTCCAACAACTTGGATCACCTGCGATGATGTCTCGAGCGAGAGCGCCGTTTCTGAGATTGCGGCCCTCTATGGCCATGGAGTCATGGAGTAAATTGCGCGGAGGTGTCGAGCAGGCGCCGTTTACCTCCTAGCTGGGCTTTTGTTCAACCTACCTGGGTTGAAAAGAAGTGTTTTCTGGCAAGGGCGTCTTGGAGAAACATACGAGGATTGAATTACGAGGACGTACCGAGCGTGAACCGTTATCGTCTTAGCGAGGGAATATTTCGCTCGAGCGGGAGCCTCGCTTTCAAAGAACATCTAGCCGGCGTCGAGGCGAGAACGCCAGGAACCGTTACCATATATCAGCAATGTTCATTTGTTATAGCAGTGAGTCTTGAAAGCGACAGCAACGGCGGTGGCGTCGACGACGACGATCTCGACGACGGTGGCGACGACGACGACGGCGCCGATGATTACTACGACGGCGGTATCGCCGACGACGACGACAACGACGACGACGAAGACGACGACGACGACGAACAAAAATCCCGACGACGACGACGACGACGACGACGGCGACGCCGACAGCGACAACGACTACGACGACGACGACGACAACGACGACGACGACGACGAGGACTGCGACGCTAACGACGACGTCGATGTCGACGACGGAGACGCCGATCGAGACGTTCGCACCATGCGGGCCATCTGTTTGTCCGTTATAATGCACCCCTGTCTTTTTCCCCTCATCAGCATCATCATCACCATCATCATCGCTCCCTCCGGCCCCTCCTGCCCCTTCTCCGTCCCATATGCATATCATCCTTCTTCCTTCAATCTCGTCGTCGCCCTTATACCTCTCCGCTTCCCCATCGTTGTTTCTCTCCCTCTGTCTCTCCTTGTGTGTTTTCTTTCCATACATACGTATATATATAGATATGTATGTACCTGCCCCTCTCTCTGACTCCCTTTCTCTTCCTGTTTCTCCCAATCTCTCTTTCTCTCTCTGGTTCTCTCTGTCTATATCCTCCTCGGCGAGTCCCGTTCCCCATACAGATCTGTTCTCCTCCGCCGGAGTCTCTCTCTCTCTCTCTCTCTTTCTATCCCTCCTACTCAATCTTTCCTCCTCCTCCTGAATCTCTTCTCATCCCCCTCCTCCTTCCCTCCCTATCTCGTCTCCTCTCCTTCCTCCTCCTCCTCCTCCTCCTCCTCCTCCTCCTCCTCCTCCTCCTCCCCCTCCTCCTCCTCCCCGCCTCCCGCCCTCCGCCCGCTCTTCCTCGCCCCAGGACCCGAGCGTGATCGCCTACAACGCCGCGATCAGCGCATGCGGGAGGGGCGACCCCCTCCTCTTCTTCCTCTTCCTCCTCATCATGGGCGTCGTCGTCCTCCTCCTCCTCCTCCTCCTCCTCCTCCTCCTCCTCCTCCCCATTGGTGTCGTCGTCCCCATGCTCCTCATCACACCCCTCACCATTATCCTAACACTGCCTCCTCATATCCCCCTCATCCTCCTTCTCACCAGCAGCATCATCAGCTTCATTCTCCTGCTTCTTCTCTTCGCCGTCCTCCTCCTCGTCCTTCACCGACTGGCCTAACCCATCAGTCAGGAGTTTGTTTGGGTGGCTACCAGCGGATGCTCAACACTCCTCACCATCATCGCCGTTATCCGTCTAATCGCTTGTTCGTTCGCTACCTGACGACGTCTGGCATGGCCGCTAGTTCTCAGCAAAGAAGACACAACTGCACGTGGATTGGGGAGACAGAGCAGCAGCATCAATGTGTTGGGGGGCAAGTTCTAGCCGGCCCCCCACACTCGATCCCCCCGCCGCCGTCCTGAAGCGGCGGGGAAGTAGCCTTCAGGGCCTCCCCTCATCATCCTCATTATCATCCCCCTCCTCCTCCTCTTACCCCTCCTCCTACTCCTCCTCCGCCTTCTTCTCGTCGTCCTCCTCCTCTTTCTCCTCCTCCCCCTTCTCTTCCTCCTCGTCCTCCTCCTCCTCCTTCTCCGCATGCTCATCCGCCCTGCCCTCCCTCTTACCCCTTCCCGAGACTTCTGGAACCACCCAGAACCTTGCGGGAACCATCCGGACACGTCCAAACACTTGCGGAAACACGCGAAATCTTCCGGCCGATATTTGTTAAGCCCATTCAGTTTCCTCCCGACCCATCCAGAAGTTTTCAAACCCTTCCGTGTTGAGGAGCGGGCGGTGGCGGAGGAGGAGGGAGCCGAGGTGGCCATTATTCGGGATGAGGAGCAGGAGGAGGAGGAGGAGGAGGAGGAGGAGGAGGAGGAGGAGGAGAAGGTACATGAGGAGGGGTAGGAGGAGGAGGAGGAGGAGGAGGAGGAGGCGCAGGAGGAGGGAGGAGGAGGATAAGGAGGAGGAGGAGGAGTCTCTTCCTTCGTCCTCCTTCCCCCACTCCTCCTTGATTTCCGCTTCTTCCTCCTCCTCCTCCTCCTCCTCCTCCTCCTCCTGTTCATTCTCCTTGCTGTGCTCTGGATATCGACCGAATACTGGAGGAGGGCGAGGAGGAGGAGGACGAGGAGGAGGATGAGGAAGAGAAGGAAGAGGAGGCGGAGGAGGCAGAGTACGAGGCAGGAGGATCCTCATCCTCCTCCGCCTCCTCCTCCTCCTCCTTCCTCTCTCCTGTCTCTATCGCCCTTTTTGCGTCCTCCTCCTGCCTTCGAGGCGATCAGTGGCGGTACTCCCTCTGGCTACTCGACGATCTGCGTGGCGCCAGGCTGGACCCCAATGTGATCAGCTACAGCGCTGGGGTCAGCGCCTGCGGGCAGGGCAGGCAGTGGCAGCACTCGCTGCACCTGCTCGCGGAGCTGCGGCGAGCGCGCCTGGAGCCGAACCTCATCATCAGCAATGCCGCGATCAGTGCGTGCGAGAAGGTCGGGCATTGGCAGCAGGCCCTGTCGTTGCTCGGCCAGCTGTGCGAAGTAGAGCTGGAGCCAGATGTCATCAGCTTCAATGCTGGGATTAGCGCCTGCGAGAAGGGCGGGCAGTGGCAGCAGGCGCTCTCACTGTTCAGTGAGCTCCAGGAGAAAAAGCTGGAGCCAGACGTGATCAGCTACTGCGCCTCCATCAGCGCGTGCGAGAAAGGCGAGCAGTGGCAGCAGGCACTGTTGCTGCTCAGCGAGCTGTGGGATTCGAACTTGGAGCGGGAAGTGATCAGCTACAATGCTGGGATCAGCGCATGCGAGAAGGGTGGGCAATGGCAGCGGGCGCTAACCTTACTTCGCCAGTTGTGCGACACAAAATTGGAGCCAGACCTGATCAGCTACTGCGCTGGGATCAGTGCGTGCGAGAAGGGGGGGCAGTGGCAGCAGGCGCTGTCGTTGCTCAGCAAGCTGCGTCACACACAGTTTGAGCTTTGTGGAATCAGCTACAACGCTGGGATCAGTGCGTGCGAGAAGGGCGGGCAGTGGCAGCAAGCACTGTCGTTGCTGAGCGAGCTGCTGAGAGTAAAGTTGGAGCCTACGGTGATCCAAACCACAGTGCCCGGCAAAGCGCACGGACGACACCGCCAGATTGCGCGGGTCCATGCCGTTAGCGGGGAGAAGGAGGATGAAGAGGGAGGAGCAGTCGGACCGGTGGCTCCCAGTGACGCGGAAGACGGCCGAGGGGTGTACGCAGATGAGCCCTCAGAAACGCAACGGGGGGAGGGAGGACGAGGAGTTTGAGGAGTATGAGGGGATACGAGGGAGGACGACTGTGTCAATTAGGAGTTGAAGCGGCAAGAGTAGGTAGGAGAAGTAATAGGGGGAGGATGATGGCGAGGAGGAGGAGGAGGAGGACGACGAAGACAAGAAGGACATACGTAAACAATCTAGGAGGATGATGCTGATGATGATGATGATGATGATGATGATGATGGTGATGATGGTTGTGGTGGTGGTGGTGGTGGTGGTGGTGGTGGTGGTGGTGGTGGTGTTGGTGGTGGTGGTGAGGAGGAGGAGGAGGAGGAGGAGGAGGAGGAGGAGGGGGAGGAGGAGGGGGAGGAGGTGTCCGCCGGGCCGCTTGCTGTGGATTCAATCCACGGGACCACTCTAGTCTATCCTAGATGATCTGTATCGGTGCAGGCCAGAAGGGTCTTAAGTGGCCAGGACCGCTCGCGCCGGGCCCTGGCGGGTCCTGGCGGGCTCCGAGACGGTTCAAGCTGGCCAGAGAGACGCCTCCAGACGGCCCAGGAGATTGCCATTTGGCTCTCGCAGACAGGGCCGCAAGACAGCCCGAGAGGGCTCCAAGAGGCCCCCGAAGAGGGCCCCGAGATGCCGAAATCATGGATTTTACCCAGAATGTATTTCACTTGGGTTGACTTCCTCGCCGTCTCTGGTTTCCGACGCTCAAAGACGGCCCAACAGGCCCCCGAAGATCGCCCCAACAAGGCCCAACGGGCCCCCAAAGAGGGACCCCGGACAGCCCAAGAGGGCGCCTTCAAGACGACCCGTGACGCCTCCACGATGCCCCCAGAGCGCTCGAAGTGCACCTCCAAGAGGGGCCGCAGAAGCCAAAATCGTTGATTTTCTATGTTTTTTAATGTTTTTGGCCTTCTCGCTTTTTCGGCTTTCCGACGCTCCAAGACCGCCCAATAGGCCCCCAAGACCGTTCCAAGACGGCCCCAGAGGCCTTCAAGACGGCCCCAAGACGGCCCAAGAGGGCCCCAAGACGACCCAAGAGTCGCCCAAGACGGCCCAAGATGGCCCCAAGAAGGCCCCAAGAGAGGCCCAAGACAGGGACCCGGAACTGAAAAACCTAAGCCTCCACCCCAAGAGGCCCCCAGGAAGCCCCAAGACGCCCCAAAGAAACGCCGGGACGCTCCCAAGACATCCCCAGGAGGCCCCAGGGCGCCCCAAAGAGGCTCCAAGAGGCCCCCCAGAGGCCGCCAAGCGCCCCAAAAGGCCCCCAAGAGGCCCCAAAAGAGGGCCCAAGAGGCCCAGAGACGCCCCCAAACAGGCCTCCGAGACGGCCCGAGACCCCCAAGATGGCCCCAAGACGCCCCAGGGAGGGCCCCAGATGCCGCCCACGAGGGCCCAAAGCGACCTCCGCGACGGCCCGAGACCCCCGAGATTGCCCCAAGACCACCCTGCGCGGTCCCGCTAACGTGGCCCCTTGATTTTGACGGTGCCTGAACACCCTTGAGTTTGGGCTGATCGCGCCCAGTCCCAGCGCGCTTGGCAAAAACCCATTCCTTTTGACGCTTCCAGGTCAGTGCCCCCGGGGCTCCCCGACTGCTTTCTGAGATCGCCTCTGGACGTGGCCCCTTACACGTCGGCCCCACGCGTGGCCTCCAAACGGGACCCCCAAAGGCGGCCCCCACACAAAGCCTCCGAAGGTCGCCCCTACCGCCCAAGTAAGCGTGGCCCCCGAACGTCAACCCCACGCGTAGCCCCCAGGCGCCCCCAAGCGTGGCCCCGACACACACAGCCCCCAAGCATTGCCCTCAAACGTGACCGTCACATCTGCCCCCGAACCCCGCACCCTCAAACGCGACCGTCACATGTGCCCCCGGAGCCCGCACGCGGCCCCCAAACATGGCCCCCGGCAGGGCCGCGAACGTTGCCCCCAACCGTGACCCCCTGACAAAACCCCTCAACGTGGCCCTCAAACGAGCCCCCCCAACGTAGCGCCCAACTCTGGCCCCCACGCGTCCACCCCCCACATCGAACTTCCCGCGCACAGGGACTCTGTAAGATCGTTCGGGCCCCCTTACTCTGATTGCGTCTGAAAGCCTACGTGTTTCTGCGAATCGCGCCCAGGCCTCGCTCGATTAGCGAACACACATTACTTTTGACGCTTCCAGCGCTTCCGACACGTGCGCGTTCGGGACCAACGCCTGGACCTGCGGGCCGTGGATTTTCCACGGGTTCACACTAGTCACCTACAGCGCTGGAATGAGCGCGTGCGAGAAGGGCGAGCAGTGGCAGCAGGCACTGTCGTTGCTCAGTGAGCTGCAGGACGCGAAGCTTGAGGCGGACCTGATCACCTACAGTGCTGGAATTAGCGCGTGCGAGAAATGCGGACAGTGGCAACATGCGCTGAATTTGCTCAGTGAGCTACTGGAGACAAGATTACCACCTAATTTGATCAGCTACAACGCTGGAATTAGTGCATGTGAGAAAGGCGGGGAGTGGCAGCAAGCGTTGTCGTTGCTCAGCGAGGTGTGCAGAGCAACGCTTGAGCCAGATGTCTGCACCTTCAGTGCTGGGATCAGCGCGTGCGAGAAGGGCAAGCATTGGCAGCAGGCGCTGTCGTTGTTGAGATGCATGCGAGAAGTAGTGCTGGATCCCAGCCCGATCAGCTACAATGCTGCCATCAGCGCGTGCCACAAGAGCGGGCAGTGGCAGCAGGCATTGTCGCTGCTGCGCGAAGTGCCGGAGGCAGTGTTAGAACCAGACGTGATCACCTACAGCGCCGGGATCAGCGCGTGCGCGAATGGTGGCCAGTGGCAGCAGGCGGTGTTGCTGCTCCGCGAGCTGCGGGACCGCAGGCTGGAGTCCTGCGTGATCGGCTACAACGCCGGCATCACCGCGTGCGAGATGGGCGGCCAGTGGTGGCTCTGGCCCGCCCTCGAATAACAACAATTGCATAAACACAAGTTCTCGGATCTCCGTGCGTGTTCTCTGGATCTGCGCTGGATCGGAGGAGCAAGAGGTCATGGGAGTGATAAGTTCCAAGATTCCCAGGATTCCACGGATCCTCCAACGTTCAGACGGGCTGCGGAAATCAGGGCCACTAGATCCCCCCTGGAAATCCTGGAACGCATCCTGAGCCAATCTTATATTGAGATTCGTCCCTGGCGGCGCCTCTGGCGCTGCGTCTGGGACGCTCCATGCGCCAGGGATGGGGGTCCAGCGCCGATGCGAGAAGTCTCGGACGGGCCTAGAGTCGAGGTAGATCCGTTCCAGAGCGTTCCGGAACGCTCTCCGAGCGGTCCGGAACGCTCCGAACGGCCGCGGCGCTCGACACATCCTCCAAGCCTGCTTTTTGTCGCGATGATGCCTTCGTCTTTCAGAGTCGGCGCGGACCTCCGAGGAGTCATGGCTATGCCGCGTGTTCTGCTCCTCTGCGCCCGGATCGTGCCGGGGCCGATGGGGCCGGAGGGCCCGCTGTTCTCTCCGTTCGCCGAGCGCGTTCCACTACCCGCAAGGTGCCTACTCGCAAACGCTAGAAAAAAAAGCAAACAAAACAATGGCTGCATCGATGCCATGTATCTCGAATCCCCGATGGCGGCTCTCCGGGCCATTTGCGAGCAGTCGCTTTGCGAGGAGTGGAGCGCGCTTGTCTATCCATGCCGGCATCGCCGATTCGTTGGTGGGGTTCGGCGCAGTCCACCAGCGCGGCCAAGATCTGCGGCGCACCCCGCACCTGTGGGCAAGAGCGGAGGGGCGGAGGCGCGGCCGAAGCCAAAGGTTTACCAGCCTCGAACGTATCCCTATCCCTAAGATTGACACGCCAAAAGGCGATGACAATCTTAGGGATTCGCCCTCAAAAAATAAGGGAATCCCTAAGATTGGCATCGTGATGAGGAGGTGCCCAGCATAGGGATAGGGATATGTTCCAGGCCTTTTAAAAGGTGGCCCCCACACGTGGCCCCAGACGAGGGCCCCAGGCGCCGACACCCCGGATCCAGCCACGAGCGCGCGCAGGGGGGGTGCGATCGCTCGGGCCCCCCCACAGTCTATCCATACCCATTCCGCCTCCCAGCCCCTCGCGCGGGCTCCCGCGTGGGCGATCTGGGAGTCGCCTCGCCTCGCCTCGCTCCGCCCTGGACTTTCTGGGATGGGGGCGCCACGAGGCCGCGGCGAAATGGATATTGACAAGCACCCAGCCTCTCAGGGCCAGTTTTTTGTCCATGTTCGCTCCGCCTCTGTCTTCATGGGAAGGGAGCCCGCACCGCACAGAGCGTTCCAGGACGCTCTCAGAGCCCCTTTGTCCTGCCCGCACAGAGCGTCTTCATGGGAGGGAGCCCTTTGCCCTGCCCGCACGGAGCGTTCCAGGACGCTCTCAGAGCGCGCTCTCGGAGCGCCCCTGGACGCTCTCCGAGAAGGCCGCGGCGCCCGACACGTCCTCCAGAACCGCCGGATCTCAGAGACCCTCGGCGTGCCCTTGTCCGATGCTGCCTAGGAGGAGGAGGAGGAGGAGGAGGAGGAGGAGGAGGAGGAGGAGGAGGAGGAGGAGGAGGAGGAGGAGGAGGAGGAGGAGAGGAGGAGGAGGAGGAGGAGGAGGAGGAGGAGGAGGAGGAGCCCGACCGCGGCAGCTTCCAGGTGGCAGGCCCTGTCGCTCGTCGACGAGATGCGGGGCGGGGGCCTCGAGCCGGACGTGGTCACCTGCACCGCCGCGATCAGCGCGTGCGAGAGGCGGGCGGCGCGCAGGAAGGGATAATAAAACGACGCGAAGATCGGGACAAAATCGGATCGGGATAACTCGAAATCTCTGAGAATCGGCGGGTTTGGAGGATGTATTGGGCGCCGCGGCCGCTCCAGAGCGTTCCGGAACGCTCTGAGAGCGCTCCGGAACGCTCTGGAGCGATTTATCCCGATCCTAGCCTTGTTTCAGGTAAAGTCGGGCATGTCCCTCCACAGGGCGGGTGTTCAAGAATGGTTGAGCGGAGCCGTCTGAGGACGACCTCTTCGTGTTCTTTTTCGATGGCTGCAGATTTGAGCATGCTCTGACCGCGTTTTCGCTCTCTTCGAAAAATCCCGCCTGCAGGACGACACGCCCGACCGAAGGCAATGGGGGGGGGCTGGGGTGGTCCAGACGCCCCGCCAACCCCGCCGGGCCTTCGCGGGGAGGAGGTCAAGCCGTGGCGAAGCGTCCCGGCTCGCCTATAGCCCCACCAATCAATGTTCTAAGAACCTTTTGTGGTTCCCACGAAATGTTCTTGGAACATTTCTGGCTGGGACTGTCTTGTTTTCACACATCGGGCTTATGTTCTAAGAACATTGTTTTTGTGTTTAGAACATTTTCGGGGTTCTAAGAACATTTCGTGGTAGGACTATAGGAATGCCGGGACGGTCGGTCCCTGATCAAGCGCTCACACCACCACGTAAACGCGCTGTGTTATGCGGTCACAGCGCCCGTGCCTGAAGTGCACTCGGCATTTGATGCAGCAGCCCGAAGAGGGAGTATCTGTTTGTCGCGTCGGCGGCTAGGCAGAGTAACTGCGCTTGCGGTGAGCTCATTACCTAAACGGGGGTGCCGTTGTAGCGACCTGTGCCCCCGTGCAGGCGGAGGGGGGAGGGCAGAGGACGCGGCCGAGAAGGGGGGCGGGAGGGCAGCTCGCGGAGCAGACCACGGCAGAAGCGTACATTTTGGAAGGCCCGCGCGGATGTCGCGGAACTCGGAGCTGGAGCCACCCCTGGCGGCGCCTCCAGCGCCGCCCCGGGCGCGCTCCGCGCGCCAGGGAGGGAGGCCCAGCGCCGATCCAAGGAATCAGCGCGGACCTCCGGAAGTTTCTGGTTCTGTCATTGTTTCCCGCCGCAAAAGTATGTACACAGACACCCTCCAATGGAGAATCCCTGGGCTTCAGGGGAGGGTGGCGGTGTATCAATCACCACTGGGAGCCAGCGAATGTATACGCCGCCGCCCTCCCTGCAGGTACATGTCAAATTCGTCGGAGGGCGCCTATGTATATATTTTCTTGGCGTATGTTTGTTCCTCGAGAAACGGGCGTGGCCGCGGGGAGCTCGGCCAGGATATCCTGGCGCCTCTTGAAAGATCTCTTTCGACCATGCGCGTATAAGACTGACCTCTCGCCGGAGGGACCCCCGGTCCGGGCTTGAGCGGCCCCTCCGGGTCGCTGAGTGCGGTGCGCTAGCGGCTTGCGCGCCTACTGTGCCCCAGCGCCCCCTCTGAACCAGACTCCTCGGGTCATGAAAAAGTCACGGCGGGAGGTTTTTCGCTATTTTTGGCTTCTGGGAGCCCTTCCCGGGCCTCGGGACCGTAAAATTATTCTGGCGACGTACCCAACAACTGCGCAATGCGGGGCAGGAGTAGCTTTGGAGATTTGACGAGAAGGCGGCGACGTGACATAGACGCATATACTTCCGCGAGCGGCATTCGTAAGGTTCGCAGGTCCCCAATCAAAGGAAAAAGGATAAGTAGTTAAGTGAATCCCTGAGTCACTTAAGAAGATGCTAGGTCCAAAAGGAAACGGTGTGCAAGGAGCTTGAAACGTCGACAGGGCAGCAACAATATGCATGGCCCTCCTGCCGCTCAGGTCGGCGCAGTGTTTCACTTCGCTGAACCCACCAGCAGCCTTCGAACGTGGCGAGCCCACCAGCAGCCCTCGAAAGTGGCGACAATTTCGCAGATCGCAGCCCCCCAGGGACGGCGAGGTCTCGCTCAGGTCCCCGCGGTGCCTCACTCCGCTGGACCCAGCAGCAGCCCTCGAAAGTGGCGACAGTGTCGCAGATCGCAGCCCCCCCAGGGACGGCGAGGTCTCGTTCAGGTCCCCGCGGTGCGTCGATCCGCTGGACCCAGCAGCAACCCTCGAAAGTGGCGACATTGTCGCAGGTCGTAGCCCCCCCCCCCCCCCCCAGGGACGGCGAGGTCTCGCTCAGGTCCCCGCGGTGCGTCGCTCCGCTGGACCTACCAGCAGCCCTTGAAAGTGGCGACAGTGTCGCAGATCGCAGCCCCCCCAGGGACGGCGAGGTCCCGCTCAGTTCCCCGCGGTGCCTCGCTCCGCAGGACCCACCAGCAGCCCGCGGAAGTGGCGACAGTGTCGCAGCTCGCAGCCCCCCAGGGACGGCGGGGTCTCGCTCAGGTCCCCGCGGTGCCGCACTCCGCAGGACCCACCAGCAGTCCCCGAAAGTGGCGACAGTGTCGCAGATCGCAGC